CAGAGGAGGAAGTGGTAACAGCGTTCCACCTCTAGCTGAAATGCTCTTTACAAATAATAGCTGGTGAGATGAGAAAAGTCAGTGTTCTTCACTCAAGTGACAATGGAAGTATCAGCCACACTCCAGGACAGGACCCATGCTCAGGAGTAACTGGCCAACAAAACTTGGACTCCAGTGTCTTTTAAGAAAAATGAGAAAGAACATGTAGTTGTGTGTATGCAGGGGAGTGTATCTGGGAGGAGTTGTAGAATGAGGAAGAATATGATAAATATATATTGTATGAAATTCTCAAAGAATAAATAAAAACAAATATTAGGTTTTTTTTCTTATCACCATATTCAAATGTCTAGGTTGGACATGGCAAAAACATATTAAACATGTTCCCTGTTATTCTTTCTGGTCCTACTCTTTCTGGGACACTGTTACTATGTAAAGGATGCTAGCTGATAGATTTATGCATAGCTATAAGCACTGACGGTTCTTAAAATCAGATAAACGCATAGAAGAACAAATCAAGATTCCCCTTTCTATTTTGTTTATAAACAGCAAACAAGTTACATGGAACTAGATTTGTGAGCCAGTCAATTGAGCTTTGGTGGCATTAGAGTCACTGCCAATGAACATGTTAGAGGACCTTTGAAACTCAGACTGCAATGTTTATAATATGCTGAATTCAAGGACAGATATGTAGATGTGGTGATGAGGGATGATAAAATGACAACAAAATGTATTAAATTGGTCTCTCATTCTTGCATTTAACAACCTAATTCACAAGCTCTAATGTTCTAGCCACACAGATGTACTGAGTTTATCTCTGTAATGGACCATATTGCTTTTACACAGTTGAATTCCCAAAGCTGTTTTTTTTCCCAGAATGTTGTGAAATCACTGATTTTTTAAAAAATAAGGAATAGTAAACAACTCAGATATATTTAACATTTTTCTGCTTGTAGCTCTTCATGAACTCCTTTTCAGAACACTAAAACATAAAATGCCTGCTCACCCCTTTTCAATCTAGAATAGTGTCTTAATAAATATTTAATTTTGAAATAACAGCTGTGCTTCCTCTGAAGAGACTGTATTTTCATCAGAAATTATTAGTAACTCCAAATCCATTGCTTATTCATGGATGGTGCTGCCCATTGATTCTCTTTTCATAGAGTTTATGGACCTTTTATTTACTTTTAATCAGAGCAGAACAATTACCTCAGTACCTTATAATGGCTTCGCCTTTGCATTGTTAGCCAGTGAACAGACTGCAGTTTCTCAAGGCTGCTGGTTAATTGCATACAGTTCAGCATTATCCTTCGTTATAAATTCATGTCAATTTACAGCCAACCTACAGGCTGTGGGGAACATTTCACAAAGAAGTTGTGATAGAGACATGCTTAATGTATGTGTCACGGTTGATATCCCCTGCATTGTTACAGAACTAGAAAATCATGATGACCATTCAGGTAGCTCTTTTCTTTTTGTTTGCTTTTGCTCCAAAACTTAACTTGAATTTTTGTCACTTGAAGAAAGAATTCAGAAAGCTAATGCAAACTTGTAAATATTCTCAAAATTAACTCTACAACACAGGAGATCTTATTTAGGTGTTTTGTTTTGTTTTGTTTGTTTACAAAATAAACAACTCAGTGATGGGTACATCGCACACAGTACACATAACTTCTTTGGCTTGATGATTTGGGGTCACTGGGGACAATTTCAGTGAATTTGTTTTCAGATTGCAAACTTATATGTACAGAATTGCTGATAACTCCATGATTCATCATGAAAATATTGAGCTTATGTTCATCTATTGACTTTTCAGTGCATATTTATTAATCACTTCATATGGAAAAGACACTCAATTGTGGGCAAAGGGACTAAGGAAGTAAATAGAGTATTATTCTGCACTTAAAATAATACTCTATTTTGAAATGCAATTTTTAACTGTACATAAGTTCATTTAGTTGTATATACTTTGAGTCTGGTTAGTTTTGGTGTATGTTATTTTTATTCCTTTGCAATTTTTATAATAAATTTTATCTAAAAGCAGAAGAAATACCTGATGATAAATAGAAGAGGAAAGAAAGGTATTTGCTTTGCATATACTCGTAAATACTGAAATACGTCTGTCTTAAAAAGCATATGAGATGGCGCCTTAGCCTGAAAAAGTTTCTTGAAGGTGGGGACACCAAGGTAAGACTTGAAGGGTGAGCTGGAGCTTGCCAAGTCCGAGCAGAGGATGGGAGTGAATACTGGACAGGATAACATCAGAAGTACTTCAGGATTTGCAAAAATAGCAACAAAGGCAGAGAAGCAGCAGCCAGGCTCACCTCAGCAAAAGGTTTAGAGTAACTGTCCATTTACTGTGATGTCTCAGTGTCAGTTGATAAGAACTGATCCCTGGATGGCACTCAGAGCTGGAATATTAGCCAGACCATAAAGGGCTCAGATCTGTAGTCAGAGGTTACTGAGAAGTTAAGGAAGCACGCGAAGAAGGGAAATGTTGTGGTCAGCTTTTATATATACTTAATTCACACACACACACACACACACACACACACACACACACACACACACACACACACACACCTGTGTGTGTATCAGTTAATTTCATGGGAATGTCAGAAAAAGGAAGAGCTGTTAAAAGGCTCAGATACTTCAGGGAAGAAATGAAGTTGGTCTAATCTCTCCATGTGAAAAAAACAACAACAACAACAACAACAAAAAACCCTTCCACCTCTAAGATATTTGAGGAAAAATTGATAAATTGGTGAACAGGGGGTAGAAAAAGAGGAAGAATCTGGGTGTGGTTAAGATTTCTCTGTATCTGTAGGTGGTTGGTGACCTATTTTGGAAAAGAAGAGGTTTAAGGTTTATGTAAAAGAATTCAAATGTGTTTGGCGTGGTGGAGTTTCTGTTATGTCTTGCCTTTCCAGAGGGTGGTCTAGTGAATATTTCAACAGACAACTGAGAAGGGCAAGGGTGGCTAGTGCAGAGTGTGTGTTACTGGCATGTTCCATGGTTGGTGAAACTGTGCACAGACAACACTAATGGAAAAGGAGGAGATGTGATGAAACAAGTTAACCACACAGCTAGGTGACCTCTTCTTTCTTTTAGTGCTGTTCATGTCTGCCATCGGCTGGCCATTCTTCTTCAGGATTGACAACTAACTTTGATATGTAGCTCATTTACATCTTCTGCAATTGAATCTGTAAGTTGTTACAGAAGGTTTATTTCACCTTTATTGATCTACTTTGGGGCCTTTCACCAACTTTTAACTTCAGAAATGTGAAAATACATACTGGTGACTATTATTCTACTATTTAATTTTTAAAAATTAGTTTCAGATGTCCAATTTTATGAATATTCATCAAAGCTACTCATTCTGATATTTCCACTGTTGTTCATAATCTCATCAAGACTTCTGCTAATTTCTCCTGCTCAAATTTTCTACTCTTGTTCTTTATTTCACTCTTAATGATCCTTGTATTTGTTTTTTGGTTATCCCAGAGCTTACCATTTCATCCACTGCCTTGCCAATAGCCTATCCATAGCCAAGCCATATTTAATTTTTATTTAACAAATATTTATGTTAGTACAGTTTAATCTATTTTAAAACTCCATAATTTTAATTCCCATAAAAATTCCTGTGTCAAGCCTATTCAAGAAATTGCCTCAAGGAAGAACTCAACAAGAGATACCACAGAATTTTCCAATTTGTGTGATTCTTTCTTTGGCAAAACCAACCATGATATTATGAGAAAAACCAAATGTACCAGGCAGACAGAAGTGTAGAGAGGCTTAAAAAAAGAAACCTGAGGACTACAGGCCTCCTCTAACAACCAACAGCTGAAATCAACCATGGAAGTTGACTTGTGAGTGGGATGAACAAGCTATTTCAATCTCTGGACTAAGTTGTCAGCAGAGGCTTGAGATACTAAATAACCAAAACAAGACTTTGCTTCAAAAATAAGGTTGACATTAATTTTTCTTCTTCAACAGAATTAACACAACCAACCAAATCCAGTTGATTAAATATTCAAGGTATGTATGCCACTACACTTCTGATTTTTCCTTTGAATCATTCTAGTGGTTACTGCCAGCCACCACTGAAAAGATTTTGTAAGTCTTTTTCTCCTTTTTTTTCACTATCAACTCCTATGTTATTAGTCAAGTTTCACTGGTTCCATTAAATCAATAACACCAATCTCCTGACTCTCCATTGCTCTCTATACTCATTTTCTACTCAGTTATGAGTTAATTCTCACATGTCGTTCTTGGTTTCATCGCCTGTGTTGAATTTGCCTGATTGTCAATCCTTGTTCTTCAATTTTCTACATTAGCAGTAGACTCAGATAGATCATGCAAAAGATATACTGTTTTGAAACAGGGGAATCATATAGTTAATTAGGGATCTGTAAAGAAGAGAGTAGACTGGGTATAGATAACAAAGTAAAAACATTCTTCTGGAAATAATAAAGTCATAAGTTAAATTCATTGGTAAAGATTATATATTAAAAGGAACCATTAATCATAAAATTTCCTATTATGGGCTTATATTAAGCAATTTCTTTGTACTGCTAATGAATATTTGGAGAAAAGAAAATACATTTGAACAAAGAACACGTCCTAACTCTGTTATACATGTAAATAATTGAACAGTATTTTCTCTTGTAGTAAGTAGTTTCATGCCAGGAAAGCTATTTCTCAGGAAGTCAGAGTTTGAGAGGAAAAACTGACCTTGAGGTACCCTGTGAATCTTACCACGGACATTCAGCCTTGCCTTTGCTGATGAAACTGAATTTACATCAAAAGATAAACAGCCATTATTGTTGGAAGTCTGCTGAGCCTGAGATCCACTAAAAGACAGTAGGAGATGTTATCTTCTGAGCACTGCTGTGAGGATCCGGAAGAGCTCTTATTGATGCTATATACAAAATCATCTTACTGAATACTTGAATCATCATTTCCCTACCTTCATATTAGTAAAATGCACTCTTTCTCCTTACCTTGCTGAACAAAGGATCCATACACAAACCACATAGAGTTGTAGAGTGTAGTAGATGTCATTGATCCCATTTGCAATCGTGGGGGATTAAGCCAGTTCAAGAGGTAGACCAGTAGTCCCACAAGAAGGACTGTGCCAGCAATGCAGGCCCACAGAGACAGATCAAATGGTGCAAGACAGGCAAACATATCCACTGTCTTTTCTGCCCTTCGAAGTAGGACCCCCACTGAGTAGTCCATGTAACGTGTTGTAAAATCCACAACATTCTCTCTGTCTGGAGTAATAGTTAAAGCAGAAATCCCAATGTCAGCTCTCTGAAAAATTGAAAGAGAGAAGAATACATTAATAGTGTGAAAACAATTTGATTTGTGGCATTTCAGTTTGCCTTGAGGGAGAAAAAAATGATACCTCGGGCATCATCTTAAGCCTCTTTATATAAACTGAAAATACTGCAGAGACTTCTTATAGACAAGCTTATTTGAATTTTGCATATCTTATTGCAAATCTTGCCCCAATAGAGTCAAACAAATTGCCTACTTCATATTGCCAGTGCATGTGGAATTAGTCAGGAATGCCTCAGACACAGATATACATCAGTAAATTATCTGTTTTTTTCCCCTTAATTCATTTTATCAAAGCCATCATTAACACACTAGCAAAATAAAACTTATCCAAAAATTTCTAAGAAAATGTTTCCAAGACATTCACAATTTTTTAACATGTAAACTCAGAGGCAGGCTCCTTAAAACTTCAATTGATACCATCTTTTGTTTAAATTTCTATGCATAAAAATTATAGATTGGGCTCTAAACTTGTTAGGGCTGATTTGTAATGTCATATACCAAAAGCCTACACCATGTTTCTGTTGTATACTCTTCAGAAGCTGTCAAAAGATAATTAATGACCACGGAGACAGACATTTCTTAAAATCATAATTCCTTTTCTCAGTGTGTTCCCTTAGGTTCTCAGTGATAGCCATCACAACAGCACATGCTCTTCTACCTATTTAAGATGCATTACAGAATTGCAGTAAAGCACTGATTAAATGACTTCACACTCAAATTCCGTGACATGAGCATACATATTTAAATAAATAGGCACCTTGTTTAAAATAATGATCTGTGGTAGTGATTAAAGCAGTAGGAAGTCCTCTCTAGACAAATATAAATAACAATAAAATGTATGCTGAGCATTTTCTAGCTATGTTCCTTTCTTTTTTATTATTTTTGTGCAGGGAGATAGAAATGCATCTATAGCTTTTAGGCACCAAGAAAATGGGAGAGAAGAAAAGTAAGATGCCACATGGAATGCTAAACCAATTTCAATGAATCAATTCTCTGAAATAATAAAGCTTTTAACACATTCTAGGTAAAGTAAAGTAATGGTTGTGTGTGTGTGTGTGTGTGTGTGTGTGTGTGTGTGTGTGTGTAGTGTGTGTGTGTGTGTGTGTGTGTAGTGTGTGTGTGTGTGTGTGTGTGTGTGTGTGTGTGTGTTTACTATAGCATGCATGTGAAAGTCAAAGGACAACTTGTTGGAGTCAGTTCTCACTCTGCACCATGTAGGCTTCCACAAATCAAACTGAGATCATGAGGTTTGAGGACAAGCACCTTTGCCTGTTGGGCCATCTTCCTGGCCCAATACTGATACTTTAATATTGAATACATCTAAGTATCTTAAATAACAACCTCTATGACTTATTTATTTATTTATGTATGAGGAGATTATTTTGTATGACTGAAATGTTAATAAATATGGAAATTACCTGTGTGGATCTATAGAGAAATTCCTAAATTTTCATTGAATTTCATCACTTGTGTATTCTGTGCTTGGGAGAAAGTTCACCCTCCCCAGGAAGGCAAATCAGAATTATGATGACATTTCCATTTCTACTGACATATCTACATACATACACACACACACACACACACACACACACACACACACACACACATACACACAAACACCTTACTTAACTGTTTCTAAATTTTGATTCACCTTCCTGGGGAGTTGCTCATTGCTTTTTTCAGAATCAGTGGTACATCAGATGTCTGGTGGATAACTGGGCCATTGTTTCTTACTTATATTTAGAGATGCTACACTGCACAGAAAAAGACTCAAAACCACTTATTCAGAATGAAAGTCACAAACACCCTGAATATCTAGAAACATAATCAGATATGATCGGTGACAATAACTCACTTTTTGTTGAGTCTTATCTTTCTTTTGTGTCAATTTAGTCAATTCATTTATCTACTTTATACAATAATTTTTAAATATTCACCAATATAAAACCTTTGGTCTTTCTACACTACCCAGAAACTCTCAGAAGATGATATCTACTGTGTCATATAGTGAGCATGGGAAATATGAGATTGGAATTAGCACTGCCTTCCAGCTCCCCACCTCTGGGTACCACCAGTCTGTTCTTTTAGCCCTATTTACAAATGTGAAATCTTTTTGTACACTAGGAATATGTATTATTTTCATTGGCTAATAAAAAGCTGCTTGGTCAATAGCTGGACAGGAAAAGATTGAGTGTGAGAGCCAGACTAGGAGAAAGATGGGAAGAGGAAGGGCACAGTCAGAGAGTCATCAGCAAATGCAGAAAGCAAGATGAGAATGCTGTACTGAGTAAAGGTACCAAGCCATATGGCTGGACACAGATAGGAATTATGGGTTAATTTAAGTGTAAGAGTTAGCTGGTAACAAGCCTGAGCTATTGACTGAGCATAATTTGGAAGCAGCTGCTGGGATGGGAAAACTCTGCCTACATATGACATCCAACATTCAGGTTCACATACATCCACATAAAGACTGAAAAAGCTTTAAAAAGGATTCTAAACACACAAAAATGCCAAGCGTGTCTTCTTGGTAACTGCCTTTTATCGGTAGGCTATGTTTGCTAGCAGCAAGCAGAGGCATGGCTCCTTTAAGATGTGGCTTCCTGGTTCCTGCTGGTAGCAGGGATGGCTCTTTTGGGAGGTCCTGCTATGGACCACTTTGTTGTAGAATATTATTTTAAGGTGTGTTACTTTTGTTCATGTGGCATTTGTTTAACTCTGTGAAGCTGTGTTACTGTGCCTATGTAAAACACTTGATGGCCTAATAAAGAGCTGGCCAACAGCAAGGCATGAGAAAGGATAGGTGGGACTGGCAGGCAGAGAGTATAAATAGAAGGAGAAATCTGGAAAGAGGAAATTGAAAAGGAATAGCCAGAGAGGGAGGAAGACACTAGAGGTCAGCCATCCAGCTACACAGCAAGGTGTGGAGTAAGAGTAGGTTTACAGAAGTAAGAGAATGGGAAAAGCCCAGAGGCAAAAGGTAGTCAGGATAATTTAAGTTAAGGAAAGCTGGCTAGAAACTAAGCCAAGCAAAGGCCGGGCATTCATAATTAAGAATAAGCTTCCATGTGTGAATTTATTTGGGAGCTGGGTTGTGGCCCCCCCCCCAAAAAAAAAAAAAACAACCACAGCACTTGAATGGGGTTTGTGTTCAGCAAGCTGCACTCTACTTGGTGGCTGTGTGTACCCAACACTTCCCAGAGTTGTGGTGGTATGTATGACTCTCTGTACCTCTGCCATGAAGCTAGGCTCTTAGGAAGCCAAGCAGGGCAGAGTCAGCTACCAAAGCCACCATTTTGATCCTAGCCATGCTGCTTAGCACTTTAAATAATCATGTGGTTAAAAAATATAGAGAGATATGCAGTAAAGACAGATTCAGATTTAAAAAAAAAAAACAAAACAACCTCTAAACAGTTTTCAGTGTGCTTAAAAATATACATAGACTTGGGAGAGACAAGAAAAAATGTAGAGAAAGTCCTTAAAAAGAGAATAGAGTAATAAAAAAATGCAATAAGCCATGAAAAGATAGGAAATATACAGAGAGTCTGGAAAATGTATGTTATTGTGTTGTCTTTGAATTTTTGGCTGCTAAGAGACACTGGGTTATGAAAACTGCGAGATTCAACCAACCTATATATTTAAAAAATATCATGACTTCAAAATTTAAGTCAAAAGATGTGTTAAATTGGGGAAGAGGTTCACAGGAAATGAGAGGCTATGGATTCACTCTGGGTTATGGATAATCAGGTTTGACTGAGGAAGAGCCCTGAAATCCTGACTAGAGACATAAGGAAATAAACCTAGAATAACTACAAGACATGTAATGTATATTTTACCTGCTCAAACACATAGCAAAAAAATATCTTCAAACTGACTTGTATACAATACACAACCTATACTTGTACTAATGCAGATATGTATGTTATCTTTAAAAGTTTACATATTTTCAGAACAAGGGGATTAGACACCAGTGAAAACAATGGCCCAGGTGATTCAGCATCCAGAACAGCTTCCAGGCTGCTGATTGAGATGATTGAACCTCACAGAATAATACAACCAAGACTTAACAATTATACTGATTTTCTCAAGGTTCCCTTGAAGATTACCAGCACCCCCAATCAACAGGAAGTGGTCTAGAAAACTATGCCTACATTCCCAAAAAATGGGTTATGGATATTTATTATCATTTAAGGGGGATTGGTAATGGTCAGGAAAAAAGCTAAACAAAGGAGATTAAATTCAGGGATCTCATTCTAAAAAGAAAATGAGGGAGGAATAGAGAAATGATAGGATAAAAGGGTAGATTATTAAATCTGCTTTAATCCAAAAATAACTATTACTCTTAAACATTTTACATTAGTATGAAATTTAGTTGATTGATACAAATTTAAAGTTAGTTTTGTTAAACCATATGTATATTTCTACTCTCATTTAAAGTATTGTGTTTATGCAGCTCATTTAAAAATGTAATGTATAATTAAGAAATACAGATTGATAGTCATCTATAATGGTCAAACTTATAGGCATATTAGATATATTTTCAAGGTCATACACAGATATGTTTAGATAGCAATATGGTCTTCAAACACTTTAAAGACCTACTTAATATAGCATTTAATAAGTTTAATAACCTAAAGCTTTAGAGATATGATCTTCAAAAACTTTAAAGACATACAGACATTTAATATGTTTAATAACCTAAAGCTTTTCATGACAGTGAGACACATCTGGTCATGAAAGCACCGATCTATTTCAGAGAAGATGATGGGTATCAAAAAAAAAAACCCCAAAACTCCATATGGAACTTGCTTTGTCTGAGGCATAAGCTAGTCATTAGGGAAAGAAACTACCCATGTCTCAATTGCTGACGTTATATAGTCCAAACTGGACCAGCAAGACACAAGAAAGGTGGGACTGCTAAACTTTGCCAAGACAAGGTAGGACAGTACTTCAGAATTCCCTGCTTTACAGGA